CATAGATGCTGCCCTGACTAACCCCTGATCGCTGTCCCACCCCACCCCCATCGCTGTATATGCTGTTCCCCCCCCCCCAGCTGCGCGCGGGGAGGACCCGCGCGGTGGCCGCCGCAGGTGCTGCGGGCCCGGAGCCCCACCTACACCTTGCAAGGTGCTGGCACCCTGGCTGCGGCTGGCGCCGGGAATCGGAGCGCGAGAGCCGGGCAGAGGCGAGTTCGAGGACCGGCCCCAGGAGCTGTGAGACGGGCCAGCCCGGCTGCACTTGTCCCCGCGTGCGGGGGACGGTGGGCGGGCCGGGGGCGAGCCCGGGAGAACCGGGCTTGGTGGAGGAGAGCGGGGCCCGCCTCTCCCTCTTGCTGGGAACACGCCGTTCCCGCCCAGGCCTGCGGCTTGGGCAAGAGGCGCTGGTGGGACGCGGTGTTCCCTGATAAGATGAGGCAATCGCGCCCGGCCCGCCGCGGCCGGCGAGCAGCGGCACCGGGAACATTTATGTAACCTCGGGGGCCGCGCGCCAAGCCCCGCCCCGCCCCAAGCCCCGAGCCCCGCCCACAGCGCCGCAGCCAACCACAGCCGCCACCCCCGCCCCGTCCCAAGGCCTGGCCACACCCACGACGCCACAGCCACGCCCCCTGGCCACGCCCCTCCTGGAGCGTCACCCCACCCCGCGTGCCAGGCTGTGCCCTGCCCGCCCCGACACCACACGCCACCTTGCAAGCTTCACCTCGCGATATCCCCCAACCTTCCACCTGGCTTGCCGCTTCAGGCCCACGTGGGGTGCCTGAGACCCCTGTCTGGCCCCTCTCCCAGACTCCCACAGGGTGTGTATCCCCCCTCCCCCGCCCCTGCACCCAGTCCTCACAGGGCAGACCCCAGTACCCTCCTCCAGGCCCCCATCCCCAGCCCGTCCCGTGTCCACAGCCCCTGCCTTCTTGGGCCCTCCTGGCATTGGACCCTGGGATCCGGAGTGTCCAGACCATCTCGCTGCACGGGAGGGCTGGTGTCACCTTAGGGAGCTAGACTGGGTTCTCCCCCTCCCCCGACCCCCACTGAGGTCTCTGCCATCCTACTGCTGCCTCCTTGCCAGTGCCCAGGAGGGGGACCCGGCTTGTTTTGTCCTGTGGAAGGAGGTGGGCTCATAACCCCCCCCCCCCCCAGGCCCTCCTCTGCCCATCTCCCTCTGGGATGCTCCCTGAGCTCTTTCAACTCAGCCACTCCACCCTGAGGTCAAAGAGAGGTTTCAGGGTAAGGGTGGGAGACACCTGCAGGCGCTGCAGTCCTTTCCAGGGGCTGTGGACCTACACCTTTCATTTAACAGCTGGAGATGTAGCTCAGCAACTCCTGCTTAGCAAAGCATGTGACAGCGTTCAAACCCTAGTGCCACCAACAAAAGAAAACAAAACACCTTTCCATAACAGTGACACCATTTGCTCTTTGTTCTCCCCAACGAGTAACGTGGAATATTCCAGAGGCTATGTGATGTGTGATGACCTCACTCACCCTCCTGGACAGCTACTGGAATCTGTGCTTAGGCTTAAGAATTCTTTAATTTCTAATTTGATAAATTTCAACTAACTTAAAATAACAAAAGCTCTTCGGGGACCTCGCTGATCATTTGCATGACACTGCCCTGCAATGGGTAGTTTTCTGTACCCCCTTGTCCCTCCCATCTTCTCTCTCTGATTGGTTCTTGTCAGCATCCCAGGTGCTGCAGTAATGTTGCTGTTTGTGGGTCACGCTGGCACTCCATGCTGCTTCGGCTCAACATGAGCCATAACATCATTCCTAGATCTGCTAATTGGCTGCCACCTCTGCTGAAATAGCTGGTGAGAGAGAGCGCACGCGGGGAAGGCTCACACCTGTCTAGGTCTGGACATTGAGAAACTGTGGCTCACACCTGTAATCCTAACTACTGTGGAGGCTGAGCTCTGAGAATCCCGGTTCAAGAAAGTCCATGAGACTCTGATCTCCAATTAACACTCCCTGCCGCCCCCCCCCCCCCCCGCCCCTCATAGCTGAGAGAGAACTGTAGCTCAAATGGTAGAGTGTTAGCCTTGAGCACAAAAGCTAAGACATAGTGCCCAGGCCTTGAGTTCAAGTCCCAGGTCCAGCCCAGAAACAAAAAATCCACCACCTCCCTCTACCCTGATGCCATCTAGGAGAATGGATTAAGGTAAACAGTAAGTTTATTCGAAAAGGAAAGGAAAGTAGCCATGAAAGAAAATAATGAGGCCCCAGGGATCTGGTGAAGGGCTGGAAGAGGAGTCCAATGGCATCCTCTCAAGAGCGGTTTATAGTACAGGGATCCTCCCATGTCTCCTCCTCTGAGCCATGCACCAATTCATTAGTGGCTTGTGCATGCGCCACACCCACTGTTTCCATTGGTTGAGTGAGAACCCAGGGAATTATGGGAAAAAGGGTTGAGTAGGAGCTCAGCATTATGGAAAGAAGAATCAGTTGGAGTCCAAGGCACTGTGGGAACAAGAACCACCATGATGGGACACATTACCTGCCACGTGCTATGTCCAACACTTTTTACCTAACATTCCCCCTTCCTCAACCCCAGCAGCCCATCTCCTGGGATGGGACAGCTTTCTGCATTCCTGACCTCAGATGGCCCATCTATCATTCTACCCACATGAGTGAGTGCTCCCCGGGATAGTAAGAAGACAAACCCCCAGCAAAAGCAAAGCGGAAAGAGTTCGAGTTGATTCCCAAACTCAAATCTAAGAAGATCCAGTTGATGAGGAAAACAGACCAACGTTTAGGAGTGCACGTGGAGTGCGTGCCAAGCCTAGCACAGAGCTGGTTGTCTGCAACTGTGACTTCACTGTGGGGACCCCTCCCCGCCCCCCCCCCCCCCACCGCCGTATCTGTTTCCTGTGTCACTCATCACACCTGACCACAAGCTGGGTGGCTACGAACAACAGAAATGTACTCCCAAAAGTTCCTGAAAACGGACGCCCCAAAAGCAGGATGTTGGCACGGGGTTGGTTTCTTTCAGGGAGAACCCGGCTTCTCCCCTGGCTTCTGGCACTGGCATTCCAGAGTGTTCTGTCACCATGTCTCACACACCTCTGGTCCTTGTGACCTCATCTCAAGATCCTTAAGTATGTCTGCCAAGGACCCTTACCTCAGGTTAGGTCACACATGGTTCTCAGGGAGGTAGGACCTGGGTATATCTTTTTGGGGACTACTGCTTGCTCCTCTGCAGGCAGTAAGGAGCTGGTCTGGGGTGGTACTGTTAGGACGGTGGAGACAGAATCTGAGGCTGCTATGTTTAGTGCTGGACCATTTCATGGTGGACTTCCCCAGACTCTCGATGACTAATGCACTCAGTGAATCGCAAGGAGTGGAAGTAGTGAGACTTTCTTCCCTCCGTTATTGACGAGCATTTTCTTTCCCCTGGAACCAATTAGTACTAAATGAACGTGGTTTAGAAAATGTTTGGGCTAGACAGTTAAAGAATTATATTTAAACCTTGCCTTTTATTGTTGTTGAAGGCATAAATACACATGATTTTTTTTTTAAAATTATGACTAAAGGCATCTCATGCAACTCCACTCTCCAGGGACCAATACGTCTCTTATTTATGTGAGGTGTCACTATCATGTGATTTTCGTCTCTATTTTGTTTATTTTAGTGGTATTGGGGTTTGAGTTCTGGGCCTCACACTTGCTAGACAGGTTCTCTACCACTTGAGCTGTATCCCTAGTCCTTTTTGCTTTAGGTATTTTATTTTTCATGCGAAGTCTTTTTTTTTTTTTTTTTTTTTTGCCCTGGCAGGCTTGGATTGTAATCTTCCTCTTTATCCCTATTGTATAGCTGGGATATCGGCATGCCATCCCACCTCATGCTTTTATCATTGAGATGGGGTCTTGCTAACTTTATGCACAGAGTAGTCTTGGACAGTCTTCCAGATCTCTGCCTAACTGGGATTACAGGCATGAGCTACTGTGTTTGATTGTACTTGTTATACCAGTGTGAGAAAGGTTGTATTCGGAGGTGCCAGGCCCCACCCCATTGGTTGTTCGTGAGCCGTCCGTGTGATTTTTGTGGTGGTTTATAGTTGATCTGGGTAAATGATGGTCTGTCCCTTGATTTGAGCAAAGGATGGGAGCAAAGAACAGAGTCCTGATTGTAGTCAGCCTCTACTGACCCCCCCCCCCCCCCCCCCCGCCACACACACACACTGGACCCTGCCTCCTGAGCCCCCAGGGCTTGTTCTTGGCTAGGACCCTTGTCAGTCACTGTGCTTGAAGCCCCTGCTCTGTGGAGCAAACAGGAGCAACAGGCTGGTAGCTGTCCAGCCTGGCTTGCTCCTGGAGATGCCAGTCTGATTCCCTTATGCTATAAGATTAAGGAGAGTCAGAATTGGAGCTGGGATCCCTAGGACCTGTGTAGGGGCATCTGGACTCACGTAGACTTGGAGTATCAGGGTATGATCCTGTGCCCCCCCCTTCCCAGGGGCTGGGGACAGGAGGCCCTGCATGGCCATACTGGATGACTCTGTGTGTGTCTGTGTGTCAGTAATGGGGCTTGAACTCAGAGCCTGGATGCTGATCCTGCGCTCTTTCATTCAGGACTAGTGCTCATCCATTTTGAGCCACAGCAACATGTCCAGTTTTCTGGTGGTTCGTTGGAGAAAAGAGTCTCATGATCTTTCCTGTCCTGGCTGGCTTTGAGCCAAGATCCCCAGCTCTCAGCCTCCTGAGTAGGTAGGATGACAGGCGTGCGCCACCAGCTCCTAGCGTGGATGACGTTCTTAGGGATGCTCCCTGATAGGAACCTGTGTCATTTCATGCTGGGACCTGTCTTGTGCTTCTCTCCCATCTGTGGACGCAGGGCATGGCCCGCCACACCCGGCCACAGCGGCTGGCAGGCCGGGCCTGGGGTGGGGTGAGGAGCAGGGGGTGGAGGTGGGGGAGTCTCGGCGATGGTGGGCAAGGTCGCCGCCCTGGGTGGCACCAACCCTCACGCTCTGCCCCTGTCACCCACAGGTGAGCGGCCCTTCGCCTGCAGCTGGCAGGAGTGCAACAAGAAGTTCGCGCGCTCCGACGAGCTGGCCCGGCACTACCGCACGCACACCGGCGAGAAGAAGTTCAGCTGCCCCATCTGCGAGAAGCGCTTCATGCGCAGCGACCACCTGACAAAGCACGCGCGCCGCCACGCCAACTTCCACCCGGGCATGCTGCAGCGGCGCGGCGGGGGCTCGCGGACCGGCTCGCTCAGCGACTACAGCCGCTCCGACGCCAGCAGCCCCACCATCAGCCCGGCCAGCTCACCCTGAGCACCCGCAGACCCCTGCCCCCACCCCTCCTGAGCCCCCTGGCCAGCCCCACCTCCCACCCCCCAACCTGACCACAGCCATGAGCACACCGGCTCCCTCTCCTCCTCCTCTCGGCCCTTGCTCCCTCCTTTGGTGAGAAGAAAGCAGAGTGAGAACTCAAGATGTCCACAAAACAAACAAACAGAACACTTTTCTTCACCTCAGGTGTCAAAGTCAATTTGTAAAAAAAGAAAACAAAAAAAACAAACAAAAATAAAAAAAAAAGACAAAAAAATAAACATAAAACCCACACCACCCACCGGTCGCACAATAGAGATAACCCACGGAGTTGAGATTCAGCGGTGTTGAACCCCCGTTTCTCAGGGATGGACGCGGTCCTCTCCTGCCACCTTCGTCTGTACATAGATTTGCACTCTGGAATCGTCGAGAAGCTTTGGGAACACACTGGAGGCGCAGCAAGCCAACCTCACCTGGTCAGGTGGAGCTGAGTGGCCATTCTGGGAGGGAGGGGAGGGACAGAGCCCCGCCCCCACCCCCTCCCCACTCCAGAAACAGATGTGGTCACCGACCTTGGTGACCCCTAAAAGTGAGGCCTGTGTCGGCCTCTTCCTACCTTCCCACGCGCCCAGCCTCAGTCTCCTGCCCCAGGCCTGGCGTGGGACCCAGGTGGGTCTGAGAGATGGGTCTCCTCAGAAGGATGCCTTAAATTGTACCAGGCCGTGGGGGAAGCAGGCCCTCTTGGAGGGGCCTGCAAGAGAGATGCATCTGTCCTTCATAGCCGGACCTCCCTGCCTCCAGGAGCACTGGAAGCCAAGATGCAAGTCCAGGGCAGGGGTGCCATTGCATGGCATAGACCTCCAAGGAGACAAGGCTGGGGGACCCATCGCTCGCAAGCCATGTTCTCTGACCGGAAGCTGGAGCCTGGGAATTCTGTCCTACGATGATTCCAGCGAGGGATGTTGGTGCTGCGTGCAGTTCCAGAACTCTCCTGCCCAGGGGAGGCTGGAGAGGTGCCTTGGTTTGCAGCCGTGGGCAGAGAGCCACGGGTGCACGTGGCCGCCGTCCCTGCGTGGGCCAGCGCGGGCACACTCCTTGCCAGAACTTGGGACTTTGGCGGGAGTCGAGCCACGGATGTGACGGGAAACTGGACATTTCTGTCTCCTCCCCCCCTACCCCGGGGAGCCCCAGACAGAACATTGTGGGAAACGCTTTTCTTAGACCTTCGTGCCCCCTGGGGTGCAGGCTTAGCACCTGCTTTTCCCTTTTCTCTCTTCTGCCTGCCCTGCCTGGGAGGCCACACTGGGCCCACAGTGCTCCGACGCGAGCCTCGTCGGTGAGCAGGAGCAAGCGGGGTCGTCCCCTGTGGTCCAGCGAGCTCCCTCGCAGACCATCTGGTGAAGCCCCCAGACACCACCTCCCCTCTTTCCCAAGAGGAGGGGTCTACAGATGCTGGGCTCCAGGACAGAGTATACATGTGTGTGTATGTGCGTGTGTATGTGTGCGCGCACATGCGTGCGTATGTGTGTATGTGCCTGTGTGTTTTTGTTGGGCGGGTGGGTTTGGGGTGGACTGGGGGGTATCTCGCAGAGATCTCTACTTTGAGGGAGAGGGCCAGCCCTGGGGACTCAGAAGGCCATAGACGGCCCTCTTGGGCCTGGAGTGCCTTGGTTGTAGCCATTCTGCTTCTTTGCAGCCCTCACCCTAGGGTAGGGTGCGGCACAGAGAAATCAGAGACCAGGCCCTGGGAGACCAGGCCCTGCAGCCTCTGGTCGCTGTGTCACGTGAGGTGTCCCTTCCTAGTACTTGTGTCCGTTTTGAGAGGCTAATGCATGCGGTAGGTGCTGAGTCGGGTCGCGGCGTGGCTCCTGCCCGGGGTTGGGGACGGTGGCTGGAGACGGTGATGGTTGGACGCAGAACCCGTGGTGGGCCCTGTGGCCTCCGGGCCCGTCACAGCCTTGCGCGTGCGTCTGGTCCGGGTGTGAGAATGAGCTATGTGGTAGGGAGAAGAGAGCCGTGGGTGCTTCGGGTGTGGCCTTCTTCATACCCAGTTCCAAAGTAAGGTCTCTTCCCAAAGTTGTTCTTGTGTGAGGCAGGGTGAAGGGGGGGGGGGGGGGAAGGGAGCCACACTCTGAACACATTTCATGTCTCAGGAATTCACATTCCAGGTTCAGGAATTTTATTCCAAAGTCCTTTGGTGCACCACATCCATGGTTTTGAAGGCAGAGAGGGAGCAGCGAGTCTCCATGGGAGAGCCCGGGGGGTGGGGGGGGGGGGGGGAACCCCCGTGGGAGGGATCTGCCCACCGCATCTGAGAAGGATGTTTTGCTAACTCCACACCTATCTGCCTGCACATAGGAAAGGAAGAAAAAAAAAAGAAGGACTCTAAACCCAGTCATCTTGGAATAAAAGAAAGAGCTGGTTTGTTTTGGAGTGGGGGTGGGGGTGGGGTGGGGGAGGGGAAGTGGGCGTAGGCTGTTTCCAAAGAGAGCACTTAATTTAATTTTTCCTCTTAAAATGACCCAGGGCTGTTCCGTCTGATAGATGGAAGGGTAACATTGCCTTAAAACAGAAATATGCAGGCGTTGGCTATTTTTGGCAAATGAGCGTGTCTTCACTCCCAAAGCAGTTTTCCTTTAATGGCCGGGAGCCGTCTCTCCAGCCATTGGGGCCTGGCCAGGGAAGTGGGGCCTGTGCCCCCCTCCCCCGCCAGACCCTCCCAAATCATCCAGGGGCTTACATTCATCTCATTGAAGTGGGTGTGGTGGGGGATCCATGAGTCTGGGTGTGTGGGGGGAGTGAGCAGGTTTCCATCCTATCATGTGGGCGAGGGGCGCCTTGTAAGGAATGTCTTCCTAGTCCGGGTAGCTTTCGAGGCCTTTCCTTTGTATAAATTCGGGTCTTGCGTGCTAGTTTCAGGGGACCTAAGGGGGTGACAAGTCAAGCCTTCATGGGGGGGGAAGGGTTTGCTGACTTTAGTTCTGGTGGGGGTCGGTGATCTTCATCTGAAGGTCACCGTGTTAACGTGAGAGTCTCCCCCCAAGAGCCTGAAAGTGATAACATCAGCTGCCAGGGGCTGCAGCTCACACACAGCCCAAACCGGAAAGCCCCTGTTCACATCAGCCATATTCGGGGAATGGCTTTCTGCTCCCCGATGTCTACTGAATCCTACAGCCATACTGAAAAGCAAGAAGGACACACCGGTCCTGGCCATGAGGCCCCAGGGAGGCTGCTCTCCTGACAGTGCTATGCAGGGATAAGCCACAGATGCCCGGCCCGGGGAGGGGGGGCGTGGCCTGGGAGGTGCCCCACCCCCACCCTGTCCGCAGCTTTATGCTGAGGCCAGCTTCAGGCACATGTGCCAGATTCACCACGGGGCAGCCTCCAGATGCCACTGCCCACACCCTGGTGACCCTCCCGCCTAGCCATGGCCCGGGTAGCCATTCACACCAGCAAAGGTGATGGGATGGAGGGTGGGGGGGTAGAGGCACAGGGGTCTTCCGTGGTCCCCACTTCAAGGGTGGCAGAACTGGGGTGGGGGGATTTCCGCCTCCCAGCCCAGTGTGTTGGGAAGATGTCTCCCCACTTCCTTGCCAGGAGCAGGTGCTGCGGCGGGCAGGCACTTCCGGGGGACCGCCTTGGCTGGGCCGATCCCAGCAGGCAGATGGGGTCTGAGCAATCGTGCATCCTCGTTTCTCAGCTCCTGCCTGTGGCTTACCTGACAGGTGTCACTGATTTTTTTTTTTTTCTCTTTTTTAAGCCTATTTTTGAAAGGTCACGTAGTGAGAAGCAGGGCTGGAGGCTGGGGCCGGCCGCCACGTGACGGGTAGGAAATGCTTTGTAGGTCACCCACATCTTTTGTTCTCCAAAGTTTCCATGTGAGTTTCCTGGTGAGCCTATCTTCCCAAACGAAACTCCAGATGGGGGGCTGGCGGTTTTGACATCTGGATGGCCCCTGGGGAAGGGCTCCGGTCCTGTGAGTAATTTTCCTGATTCAGAGGCTGCTCGAAGGCTTGTCCTGGACACATTCCAGAGAGTTCTGCACCAGAACTTGGTTGGATGCACAATCCGGCTTACTACTGATAGCCTGGACACCTTCACCTAAGCGGCTCTTCCTGCTGCAGGCCGGCCCTCCCTTGCCAGTCCCAAGAAGGCTGGGACTGAGTTGCGGCAGGAGCCCCTGTGGCCAAGAGGGGAAGGGGTGGGGGGGGGGCAGCTTGGTGTCTGTCGAGCACCCCACCCCTCAGCTGAGCTTGGCCTGTAGCCATCTTGCCCGGCCTGGCCCCCACATCTCCTACAGCTTTAAAAACGGCCTCTTTTATTTAAAATACCAACAGGATGGGAGCCAAGGCCTCCCCTGGCCTGCTCCATACATTCCAGGGGGCGGGGTGCACCCGCAGACTTAAGGGGTCCCCCCTCTGGGGTCTTCCTACCCACTGGGTCGCAGAGCTGAGAAGAGGCGCCCAGGGGGTGCGGGCAGCCATCATCCCCTGAGTCTGTCTGCAGATCAGGGCGCTGGCTTTGCCCCTAAGAGGCTCAGGGTACCCAGTGTTTGGGTGGGGGGAGTCTACCCCCAAGGATGCCAGAGGCTCTGCGTTATTGGGGGGGTCTGGCTTGCTGCAGTGCCTCAGGTAACCTGGAATTGCTTCTGTGCTTGTGTTGGGTCCCCAGGTGACCCCTTTCCCACTTCCAAAATCATTGTGGAATTTTCTGGAATTGTTTGCCAATCCTCCCCCTCCCCCCCCCCCCCCCCCCCCCGGCAGAATGCAAGGGTCCAAGACCATTTCCATCAAGTTCTCGTTCTTCCTTTACTGTAGGAACTTTTTGTTTTGTTTTGTTTAACCAGCTCCCCTCCCCACACCCAACCCCATGCCTCGGAAGGCCGCCGTCTACCGCCCGGATCACTACAGTGAAGTATTACCGTTGTACAGGTCCCAATCTGGCCTCGGCTTGCTCGGATAAAACTTTGTATGTATTTTGTAAGGCATAGATTCTATATTGTAATGATGTCCTATGCAAAAA